GGGGTGATTGGCCCCGATCGGAGTCGACTGAATCACTCACGCGGATTTCCACGTCGGCGTCGTCTCTCAATCTCATGAGACACGCGGCATCCCATAACCCCCGAGCCTGACGAGGAAGAAAAGCAGACCTCACGGCAGATGGCTCTCGCCTTTCCGGAACCTGTTCGAGTAGCCGTACTCAATTTCGAAAAAATGGCGGTTTCGGACATTAAACAGATCGTCACCATCACCGACGGGCCGTAGATTAGCAAGCGCGTCTGATCCTCCTCGTGCGAATGCGCGTTCCGCGCCGTGGGAACGCACGATCCCTTTGCCCGACAAGGCCCCGCTACTCGAGAGCTGCGGAGCGAATTCACTTAGATTGGCATCGCCCGCATCGCTCACGCGACAAATACTCAATCCTCTGCGGCCTCATATACTTCTCCTATCCAGTCATGCAGGCTCTACATCCATTTTCGCAACTTCAGAGGCGTCCATTCTCAGTTCACCCACAACGTGAGTCTGGAGGACCTTCCTACCCAGCTCCATTATCCCAACTATTGATCGCATATGAATCGTCCCGCTCTGAAGGTGGATCTCGTGTCGTGTGCCTCTCTCTGATCTGATCATGTATGCCGCCGCATGCCCACACTGGAAGCCTCTCCTTTCCACGCCCTCTGACTGGAATCCTCCGTTCCGGGCGCCTGAATCTCCATCTGTGGTCTCCATAGATACTCCAACGACAATGATCACGTTTCCCTCTCTACGTAATTGAATTGTTTTGCTCTGTGATTTCTGTGTCGAAAACTCCCCATGGCTTCAACACTCCGGAGTTACTAATGCCGTCCGAAAGTCCCGGAACGGCGAGCAACAGGTCGGCGAGGATTGGCACCCCTGATGTCTTCCGTGATTTCGGAATCCCCGTCTACAGCCGCGTGGACCCCGAAGAATCGAAGCCTCCGGGGTGAAGCCTATCAATTGAAGAATGAAAATCACCGGGGGCGAAGAGGAAGGACGAAAAGCTATGCAGGACTTCGGAATGCATTACGGGCCTTCTTCCGAGAGAGGGTTCTTCAACTCGCCCCGGAGTCACCCATAAAAAGCGAACTCCGAGCGTCTGAGTCATTCATCGGAGATTCATCAACATCTCGAAGTCTAGCTCTTCTTGCGAACATGCGTCACCCAAATCCTCATCGCGATCTGCCCTCCGAGCCAGATCTAATCGACAAACCCGTGGAGTTCCTAGACTCTCTGGGAGAAGATGAGGAGGAGTCTCCGCCACAGGAGGCCTTTGATGGGCCCCGGGACCTCGATTTCCTAGCTGAGATGCTGCTCCCAAATCCACAGGAGTGGGACCTGTTACCGCCGTTGGACGTAGCGGTCCTCGGGGAGATGAGCACTGAGAACGCCGCTATGGACCCGGGAGGTCTCCCCGGACCTTCCGGAACCACCGCAGAAGAGACCATAGAAGACACCCGACCCGCAGCCCCAGTTGACGGCCACGACGAAGGTACGGCCGACGTGAAAACCGAAGATGAGGCAGGAGGAGCCCAAGAAGCAGATAACGCAGAAGGGGGCCTAGCGACAGCCGCAGTCACGGCCGGAGGAAAAGCCGCGGCAGCCGACGTACCGCAGCAGCTGAAGACTCAGGACCAGCAGAAGGAGACTTCGCGCGCCACACAGAAGGAACTCCAGGGCGCGGTCGGCTCGAGCCTCGCTAAGGTACTGATGACGGCTTCCGAAGGAGCCAAACTTTGTATCGAAACACCGAGGTCTACCGCAGCGAGGAGTACTTCGGCTCAGGTCAGGGAGGCCCTTATCCCGGCAGGCAGTTCCGCCAGAACGGCTAGCAAGCGAAAAGAGGCCAGCCCCCCGAGCGAAACGGACAAGGAGGAACGTCGCTGCCAGGCCGACCCACACAAGGAAGGGGAGCTCAAGATTAAAGAGAAAATCGAGAAGCACATCAGAAGCCGAGTCTCCAAAATGAAAACATACGAAGTTCAATCCACCGCGGAAGAACTCAAACAACTCACCGCTCAACTGATGCGGGAAACGGATGTCCTCGAAACTGAGATCCTCTCGATAGTACAAGATGTGTGCACGGACTTCGAGACAGACAGGTCCGAGCTCGAGCAACGGTGCGAGGAGTTGGAGAAGCAACTTCTTGGCATTCAGAGCAGAGAAAGCCGAGAAGGGCAGACCCAAACAGAAAATCCAAAGAAGAGGCGGGAAGAACTCGCAAGCGAAGATATCAAACTCAGGAAGCGACAACTGGAGAGCTTGGAACAAATGGTGACGCTGTCTCAGGAGGAGTGGCCGAAACAGGCCTTTGAAAAAGTGCACACGACGAAGGCAGGGATGCTCTCGGACCGAAAATGCAGAGTCCTCATCCACGACGAAAAAGACAAGGGGGAACGAACTACAAATGTAATCCAACAATTGATGCGTCTCTTCCCTTCGTTGAAATACCTCGGTTCCCTGGAAGACGGAGAGATAGCAACAACGGAAATCATTCTGCCCTCGACACTTCAACGTCACGGACGGGGAGAGGCGACTAGGGAGACGAAAAAACTGGTGGTCGCGAAACTCGGCAAGGAGGCAAATCTCATCGACTTGGCCGAACTGATCCAAGGAGTGGCTCAAAAGGTCAAAGAAGTCAATGAGAGCTCAGACGAAAGGGTCCTCATTCAGACTCCGGCCAATGGCGACACAGACGCAATCAGGAAGCTGGCTGATGCGTGTTGGATAGCAAATGGCCTCGACTCCCAAGCCGAGATCTCAATGAAGACGAAAAAATTTAAGGTGGGTTTGGGTCAAGGCCAAACCCGAGTTTACCCTGACCTACGTATCGCTCAGTCCTCTTCGGAGTGATGCTGGTTTATATCAGTATTGCAATTATGGGGTTATGTTACGAGAAATAAGTTCAGAGAACGCTCCATCCCAATGAGATTTCACAGCCAATCGCTGTACTCCTAACCAGATAGACACCTTCATTTCCCTCGTCAGCCTTAATACCTGAAATCAGAAGAATGAGTACATTTTCGCCTACATTGAGCGACGAGCGACAGAGAGTTTGCCGACTTGGGCCACACAGCCAAGGTGTATTGTTTCGGATCGACTTCTTTCCATTGCTCCCAAGAACGGATCCTCACAATCGGATAGAAGCCCGAGAAAATCGAGTTCGGAAACCTCCTCTTTCATAACGAATATTCTGCCGGCAACAGGACTCCTCGCACAAGCGGTGTCCTCTCACGAAGAGAAACGCAAGTTTCCCACAGGCGCCTCTACCGCTCGACCAATCGTCGGTAGGTCAACCGACAGCCATATTGAAATCGGCCCGATGGCCGACGCGCGACGACGGGCCCACGGCCATTCGGCCATTGCTCCTCGCGAACAAGATGGCGAATTCAGCCAAGTGACAGGTGACTCGGAGCTGCAAAAGTGAGCATATGATACAGAATCCTCGACAAGCCCGAATTCTGGAAAAATACCATTCTCCTTCTTGGGTCGGTTCAGAACTCAAAATGCCACACAATCGATCGTCGCGAACTCGAAATAAAGCATTGGGAAGAAATGCAGAGGTTATTTCCAATTTAGACCTTGCTACCCGTGCTTCGCCACGGGGAATAGATAGGAAGATGATGAGATTCGAATTCTAGTAATACGAAGTGCACACGACGCATTTTCCGCAATAACCCATAAGTTGACGGAGGTGAAGATCAAAATTGACCGAACTCAATGCTCGTAATCGTTTACGGCCTCGAGAAATCGTCAAGAAAGTGAGATTCTTTCTGATAGGATCAGCGACAGGACACTCTTCCGAAGGCAAGATGGCCATTTTCGTTCGCACTTGATTTCCGAATGGCAGTATGAGGACTTGCACGCTCGTTATCGATTCTATGCTTGAATTGTATAGCCGGACATTCAATTTCTCACTGATGGGCCACTTTACATCTATGGAACTTAACAGATGAATAATGATGCCATGAACAAATTGGTATCGAACCAGAAGGTGTTCAAGGTGGTATACGCGACCCTCCGCGTAGACCCCAGAAACTACGCACACAATATGTACGTAGACACCATATTACAAGGGCTTGTTGAACGACGACCGGGGCTGGAACAAAGCTGGGAAGATAGAGGCGATGATTAGGCTATCTCGCCGACTTGGTGAAGGACTTCAATTATCACCAGCCGATATCGACCAGTGTCTTGCCGAAAGCGCGAAAAAGCTGGGGGGGTCGACAGCAGATGAGAAAGCTGATACACGGGATAAAGACTCCCAAAAAGGTCAGCAGGTCTCGAACCTGCCGTCGACATCCGGGGTCCAATCGAGACCACCAAACCCCCCCGCGAAGTCCGCACCCGAGCCTGGTCAAAAGCAGGCGAAAAACGACCCGCTGGCGACGTCTCGATGGACTCGGGCGAACATAGGGCGGCGAGAGCCCAACAAGGGCCGAAACGAAAGCCCAAGCGGACGCCATCCCAAGGAGCCGGTCCCCGATCGACTTCTGTGGGGCGGAAGGAGGAAAATCCTCTAAGGACCTCCACCTCTCAGAAGAAGGGGGCGAGTGAAGAGAGCAAGAAAGAACTTGCGAATCTCTTCGAGAAGGCCCTAAAAACCATCATAACGATTAGAACCCCCCGAAAACACCGAGGTACATGATGGAAATAAAATTAAGTTCCCTTTATTAAAACTTGGTGTTTTCAATATGCAAGGGGGGAAAAACGAAACGAAATAGGAGTGTCTGTCCAAGGATTTACTCGAAATCGTATCCATAGGAACATCAAAAATATATGATATTCTTCTGCTCTCAGAAACACATATGATTAGAGCGCGTCACTTTATGCTCTAGAAATCTCGGAAATATGCATGCGAATATGCGATAAAAACTGTCGAAATATGCTCGAAGGAAACGAAAAATATGCTCTCAATTTACGGACGATCCAGCGAGGAAAAAGCCGAAATTCATCTGTTGAGATATGGTCATGTTTATTAGGACGAAATTCACAGGCTTAATTTATTGATTGCACAAAATAATCAAGTGCATCTTCAAACTCTCGAAAGTCAGGCTCTGTCGACGATCTGTGAGGAGATTTTTGAGGAGAGAGAAGCTTCGTTTTACGTCTACAGACGTAATCGGTGCGTACTTGAAACAAGCCACGTCTGATGGGCTGAGAACTACGTTACCGTCAGCAGAGACCCCACTCAGAACGTCGGCGATGACCTTCAACTCGGCCATTCCCGTATTACGCGAAAGCACGAACTCACATTTGTTGCGAATTCGCTCTCCAATCGAGCCCGGCATCCCCTTGAGCTCATCGATGGTTTTGTAGAAATGAGCGATGCTATCAACGAGCGGGCAGGAGCTCGCTTCGAGATTCGTGATGCTGCTTGGCAAAAAGTCCAAGTGCGCATGGATGTAAGAAAGGTTTTCTCTCAGGTTCGGCGACCGCAACAAATCCTGAACAATTAGGATGCTTGCGGCCTGCTTACGATCGAAAGAATCAACCACGTTCGCGAACGTATCCAGGTGCTCAGCGTAGTAGAGTGCGGCAGCGACCCACGTCCCCCACCGGGTCATGACCGGCTGGGGTGGAAGGGGCGTACCCGGCGCAAGCTCTCGGAACATGGTGACCCGCGCCGCAGATTTCAAGAATATCTTTTTCCCGTTTGACACCAGCTTGTCAACTTCGGGGAACAGCAATCTGGCTTCCTCCGCTACTCGATGCAGTGCATGCGCCGCACAAGTTACATGCTTCATGCGGGGAAAAAGCACCTGTAGGGCATTCGCAGCCTTCCTCATATACGGCGCAGCATCCGTCACGAATAGGAGAACCCTTTCGTGATGGACTCCGTTTGGCCAAAGTACATTGAGAGCATTCATGAAGCTTTGGGCGATGGTCGAGTTATTGGTTTTCTCCAGATTGTCTGCGTGGAGTAGGAAACTCCTGGACCCGGAAGTTTCCAAAGTTCCGATGATACTATGCGCAACGAATCTTCCGAGAGGGTCTGTTGTCTCATCGATGGAGATCCATATAGATTTGCTTCCAACGAAACTCCTTATGTATTCCATTTTCCCCTCGTATATGCTCTTGATATAGTGCAAGCGTAACGTGATTGATGAAGGGACGTGTTGCTTGCAGTATTTTCCCACGAAAGCACTGAGCTTTTCATTGTCCAGTTTCCGCAGCGGTATGTCAGCAGATAAAAGTGCATCGCAGAGATCGACGTGAAATTGACTCTGTTTCCCGGTGGCTCCGAGGAACGACTTCATTTGGACGACGTTCGTAGACCCAGACTCTTTCTTCTTCTCGCAAAGCGCCTTGTGTTTAGCTCCTTCGATGTGCTGCTTAACCAAAGACTTCTTGTCCGAAGAGACCACCTTCTCGCACACCTTACACAGGAGTACGTTCCCATCGAACGACAGCACATCCTGGCCGAAAAGAGTCACATAATGCATTTGTCTTGAGGAAGGCGTCTTCGGCATCGTGAACACGTCTGAATCGGAGCGGAGATCGAAACACCACAGCTCTACAAACCTTCGCTCCGAGTCTTTCCCTCGATGAGAACGTGACTTCGATCAGATTTTCAACGGATCGGTATTGCACAAATGATAGTCCCCGACTGGAAGTGCGTTAACAACGGATTAGATAGGGGGATTGTCTTCTGCATGCTGTTCTCCATTGTCAGCTCAATTCTCGGAGTTGGGGAATCCATTCAGGGAGCCAGGAGACTCCTAGGTAGAACTCACCGCGTGCTCGGGGCGAGGAATCGTCAAAGGGGGAACTTCCGGGCTGATTTCCAATCGACACTGACTTCTGATCGACGATTGAGATAATCTCGTTTCTGAATCCGCGAGCCACTTGCGGCAGAACGACGCCGATCGGTAGACATGCGGATTCGAATGATTTCCGAATCGCTCTAACGTGCACGTCGCTCGATTTTTCTCGAGCTTCGATCTGTGAGAATGTCTGTTGGGACACCATGGTTCGAAGGAAGTTCTGTTCTTGGGTGTAGAGGGCGCTTAGGCAGCATAATATGCTACGATATGCCCCGAGTCCTTGAATATGCTTTCTTATGAGAAAAGTCCAGGAATAGGCATTTTCATGCTAAATATGCGAAAAGCATGAAGTGACGCGCTCTACATATGATGAATGACGAAAAACCACCGCAAAAGAGGGGCTTGTCATTCTATGGGAACAATCGAACCGGTCCGTCCGGCAACAAATAATCCGGGGGAACTGGCATACTCATGCGAAGTTCCATAGGTGAGGTGAGCTGGACCCTAACAGGGAAGGACTTCGTTGCCATAAACTGTGAGATAGCCGGCCAATCGTGGATAATCATCTCACTCTACGCCGCTATCGGTGACTTGGACTCAAATCGAAAGCAACTCCGAGAAATTGGAGAAGTCATTCGGAGCAAAGTCACGAAAGACAACCGACTAGTAATAGGGGGTGACATGAACGCCCATATCACCCAGATAGATGGAAGGACGGACGGACGGGGCAAGCTCCTTCTAGAGCTGACCAACAAGTACGACCTTACCATCATGAACCTGTCCGAGAAATGCAGAGGAAGGATCACCCAAACGCAGGGCGGCCATTCATCCACGATCGACTATGTACTGTGCAACGCCTCGGCATATAGAGAGGTATCCAGCATGAACATAGAAAAAGAGAAAGAAATCCTTTCTTGGAGCGATCATAACCTCATTACTCAATACTGTCAGTGTAGGCGGAAAGAGGAACATTGAACGACCGAGGAAGGTGCGAGTGAGGATATTAAGGGCAGAAGAAGCGTCAGAGAACATAAAAAACCTCATCAGATCAACAGGATCGGTTAGTTATGGTGACCTGATAAACACCCTCCAAACCGCAATAGCCCATGATACGAAACTCATCCACCTAAACACGAACAAAAAAATGCTGGTGCCTGAAATATCGCGACTGACGAGTAACAGGCGAGCCTTGAATCGTGAATGGAGACGAGCGAGACACGCCGGAGTGGGCGCAAACGAGGCGAGACAGCGATACAGAACTGCACAAGACGCAGTACGTGCCGAGGTAGCCAGACAGCTCCACCTCCGAGATCGGAAAATGTACGATCAGATTATGAATGCTCCCAGACAAGCCAGATCCCGGGCCTTCTGGGAATACGCTAGAAAAACAGAGAGAAAAGACCCAGCAAGGCTACGAGTAGTAAATGAGAATGGCCACGAAATCCAATCCTTGGAAATGACGGCTCATCTCACTCGAGTAGCGACGACCCTGCTGGATGCAGACGGCAACACAGAGCCGCCCATGCATAATCTTCTCTCTAGACCGCCGGTTAATTTGGTCACATCGGGCGCGGAGATTGAAACCACTGGTGGGAATATCCGAACACTCCGCCAAAGAACCAGATGAAATACCGGCAAAGATCCTCAAAGCACTGGATGATACCGGATATGAATACATATCGGAAATATTCAACCAGATCCTCAGGGGCACACATAAATTGCCGGCGGGGTGGAGGAAAGGGAGAGTCGCTCTACTTGAAAAATCAAATTCGGTTAAGGGCGATCTCACCACTTACAGACCGATCTGTGTATCTGACGTCCTGTACAGAGTTTTCACAAAAATATTGGGGAAACACATACAACAATGGGCGGAAGATACGGAACAGCTCTCGGAGATGCAGAATGGGTTCAGGAAAGACCGCCGGGGCGAGGATAACATTTTTATCCTAACAATCAGCGATAGAAATCGCAAGAGCACAAAAGACGGGCCTGATTTGCGTGTTTCTGGACGCCACAAAAGCATACGATCGAATAGATCGAAGGAAACTGTGTCAAACATTGAAGGAGAGAGGCATGAGTCCGTCAATAATGGAGGAAACCTGTATCTTCGTACGACACGGTGAGTACACCTCGGAGGAAGTATCCATCCCTATTGGACTTCGGCAAGGGTGTCCCCTATCTCCCATCCTCTTCAGCCTATACATCGCGGACCTCGAAAAACAGCTCCTGCAGTTCGGCCTGGAGCAACTCGAGCTCCCGAATAGTACATCCGGACAAGAAATGTGGAAAGTATTTCGCAAAGAGCTCTAAGCAAGGGTGCGGAAAAACTGGATGACTTATGGCGACAGAACATGGTCACCAAAACCACATTACGTATATATAGACAATCCAAAGAAGTTATAGAAGTTATCCGGGAGAAATTTATAACAGCTGAATTTTGAAATCTGCGGACAACCGACTGACTGTGCGTCTGGTCCCGAGTGTCTGATTTTATTTACATTACTAGCGTACCCTGCCGCGCTTCGCTGCGGCTCAAAGCATATTACCGCGATTTTCCCAAGATCAGCCGCATCTTCGAAGTTAGCGCTTTCTGATAGATGACGCTCTGCCAGAGCTTCCGGAAAAACGAAAGCCCGCTCTAGAAGAAGGTCCCGGATTTCGGAGCCATTTAAGAGGTGAAGCTGACGTACCGGACGTCGGAGCGTCGTCGCCCGTGTATCTTCGCCTAAAGAATTCCTCCCGATACGGTTGCTATCATGTATTGATTGCAGAACTCTACATTGGAAATACACCTTCTCTCAGAGTTTTGTGATCAGTTTTCCGACGTGAAATTTCCCTGTACCCTGCCGCGCTTCGCTGCGGCTCGGAGCATACATGCTTTCAGCTTTACCATTAGTACCGCTTGTATTTTCGTTTAAACCCCCCGAATTTTCATCCAATATAGGCTTTCAGCTTGAATCAAACAGTGATCGGTTTTCAGCTTGATTTTATTCATCGAGAGCGGATCGTTGCTTTACATCGCTAACCTTGGAATTTGTCAAGCTGATGATTAATGATTATTATCATTTTTAACTTATTCTTCTGTGTCGCTCTTTCCCGTCTTGGGATAGTTTCCGAGGAACACTGTATTTTCCTTTTGTTTCTTGTACTCTGGTCTGCTTGACCCGGCTTGCTACATCATTTCGCGCAACCTCGAAATTCTTGGCTTTACCTTTTTCCATTTTGTTTTCACGCTCGATCTGTCTCACTGCGTGCGCTCTCATTCATTGTCGATGATGACGATGCTTTCGATATTCCCAGTTCGCGGAACTCCTGATACTGGCCTTCACGATGTCACCAAGTTTGGAGTCTCTTTATGTCTCCGTCGTTTTCTTCAGTCTTGATGATTGTGCTGTCGCTCGTGGTTAGGACCTTTTTTCCAGCATATTCGCGAACCACAAGATTTGTTATCGCAATGCTCTTACCCTCGGTTTCTGCGAAACTGTGAGACTTGTTCCAGACCCCGAGATTCACGACACGAAACGTGTCGTCCACGATTCGTACGTTTGTTTCGTGCGCATAACCCCATCTCTGCATGACAGGTTTTGTGGTGGTCCGATGTCGTAGACGATTCCAATGATATCAATGAGCGTGTTGTTTTCCGTTGTTAAGATCTCCTCGATCCTGGTATTGTTTATCTTCGCTTTTGGCAAGTTTTTCCCCTGTATCTCTCGACTCGCCCCGGGTTGTTCCACTGTCTCGTTACGATAGACATTTAGCGCGTGCACCCGCATAGTCTCTAACCGAATTCTACGTTGAGCGCCAGTCTCGGACGCAAGTGATAACCTTCGTTTCGAAGCTCGAAGAGTCACACGACCGATAGATGGACGCTTGGGTGGCATGCTGTACGAGAAGTCGACCGATATCAAGCCCCCCAATGGAATAACGCAAATGAATTTAGTTGTTTTCCACAACGAAAGGCGATATCGACTCACCTTGAAATTGTCCACGAAAACCAATTGCACGCTACTCGCAAGGCTGATTCGCCCTGACTTGGCGCAGAGAGTTGCTCATTACCCGTCAGCCGCTGGCTAAAGCAGATTGTACCGCTCAAGTAGCGCAGGAAAAGACGACGATGTTGAGCCCACTGAGACAAAAGGCAAAGTTGGGGGATTTGGGGAATAAAAATCCGGGTTTTGACCGTCCACAAACCATCCCGCATTGGGTATGGTTAATGTTGTGAAGTTTAATAAGAATCCGTTCAGCAGTTTTGGCGAGCATAGGTAACATAGAAAACCTGCGGAGATTTTTATATATAGAGATAGAGATTATACTCGACTGGTTTCGATTGACACTATCGGCGCGTTATTCGAAAGACCTTTCGAATAAGCACGATTAACTTGAAAGCGTTTATGAGCAGTCGAACTATTCCTGTTCTGAGTTCACAACAGTCTTCAGTAGTTGACCGTGGGCTTCGTGAATCGTCGTCATAAGAATAGTCTTCAGTGTCATCGGTGGTGCGTCCATCCTCCGAAGAGAGGTCGAAATGGTCGGAAGCATCATCGGCGCGGTCCTCGAAGTTACGTTCCATCCTGATCACGGTGTGGAATCGATCTTGCTTAGAGATGACCTGCCTGGAATCTGATTCACGCTTCGTTTTCTTGATCGATTCGCTCCTCAATCGTTGGTTCGTTATATGAGATGGGTGGACGAGGAATTATGGCGAATATTAGAAATTGTCCTATCAAGAACTCTTCTTCATATATCGGAAATGTTTGAGGAAATTTCCATAACATTCGTATCCTTATTGGAATCATTTTGATCATTTCAATGTCGGGTTTAGCCATCAGTCATCACCATCTGCCGACTCAGTCGAATATCAAGGCTCGGAAATTGGGGTATTGTGGTGGGAATCATGAGCATAAAATTTCTCGATACACGATGTTGCGGGTTTGTCTCCCGGGTGCAAGAACAGAAAGATTGTCCGGGGAGCCGACCCTCGAAAAAGCAACGTAGAGTTGCCCGTAAGAGAAACATTGAGATTGCAAACTCACTCCACAGTGCGGGATTGACTGACCCTGCGCCTTGTTGATCGTCATTGCAAAAGCGGCTCGTAGTGGTAATTGAAGTCTCTTTAATTGATATGGCGAATCGGAAGGTCTCATTGGTATACATTGCATACAGACATGCATACATTGCAGACACGCGGAATTAGAACAGTCTGTCCTCTTCCGATACCAGTAAGGATTTGCGCTCTCAATGAATGGTTGAGAAAAGATCAGTGCAATGGACTCATCACGATGGTTCAGAATGGTTCTATCGATGATGGCCGCAGTCAACATATACTCGGAGGCCATAAAGAGACTCAATTTCTTTTTGACGTAGAAATACGTCATTGCTTTCACCTATAGACCCCATCGGTTGAGAAGACCGTCACGGTGGATGTAACGGAAATGACGTGCATCGGCGAACAGCGCGCCAAATTTGAAAATACGCGAGGCGAAGACCTCCGAATCTGCCGGACGGCAGTCGCCGAACCTAGTTGAGGCATATACTTTGTCTCTGCAGCTCTTTGAGGAAGGTGACCGTCATGATCCCGGAGATCAGGATGCACTTATGACTCTTATTATCCCGATGGCTCGAATCTACTCGATCGTCACGGGAGGTGTAACGGAAGTGACGTGCATCGGAGATGACCGCGCCGAATCCGAAAAAAAAAAACGACGAGGCGAAGACCTACGAATCTGCGGAACGGCAGTCGCCGAGGCGATTTGAGGCCTACCTTGTATTCATAGCTTTCTCATAGCTGAGGCAAGGCGAATGTCTCGAACGCGGAGGTTTAGCATGAGCACACGATCCCCATGATCCCGAGACTGTGTAGCTACTCTACTCAGCAGGTAGTGTTGTGGTCCGCAAGCGGCGATTAGTGAGACGGCCGTCTATCATGCGACTTCTCAGCCGATCAGAATCGTGGCGACTTGTGGGAGACGATGCCTCGACGATCGTTCCGACGTCTGATGTTGGGCATTCATTCCTGACGCTTTCTAGTGTCTGCATAGTTTGTTCTAAACCTCGGGAATCGGATATGGAGTGAAGACAGCTCATGGATATCTGTATATCTGACATAATGACATTGTTTTATTGTGCAAGCCTGATTTGGACTTGAGTTGCCGAGTGGAGTACCTCGCCATCATCAGAGGCCATCATCCGATGAGGATAGGTCGAGGACTGTGAATTGGGGTCGGAGTTGACGGGAAGAGATTTCATCTGAGCATTCTCCATGGAAACGAGATTCGGCTGCTCGGACATCCCCCTTGAATATCGGGGAGATCAGAGCGCGAAGATCACGCTTTTCAATGATACGGTGGAGAAACGTATCAAAGAGAGGTCGAGCGAGACCTGGTCGGAATCGATGAGATCCAAATCAAGCTTGGAGTTCTACAGAGAATGGAAGGAGAGAGGCATGAATGCACGCGGCTTGTACACAAACGGCCGGGGCAGCGCACTCTTGGCATTGGCCCGTGCGGGAATGCTACCTACGCGAGCCCACCGCACGAAATACGAATCCATTGAGTTTATATCGTCCACGACGTCATTCTTCGGGGCCAATATTGCTCTTTGGCCTAATCATTCGTGACTTAGGTGATTCACCGCTATGCTGGGATAAACTCGCTCGAGGAGTTCCTCCAATGTGTCGGTCAGATGACAGAGATCCGCTGTCAGGGTCGTGGATCCGTCCTCGTTAGAGGGCAATCGTCCTTCGCCGATGTGTAAGAATTTGGAAGCGAAGTCATTTGAATCAGATAGTCCAGGAGTGATTCTCATGTTCTGTCTCAGATGAACAACTTCAACGCTCCGCCAAAGTACTGATGTTTTCAAGCAAGCGATTCCGTCCGCGGGTGTCGCCTTTGGAATCACGGGCAAAGTCTGTCGAAAATCGCCACATAGTAAGACTGGGACTCCTCCCATAAGCAAATGATTTCCCCTGATGTCTTGTAACGTCCTGTGCAAAGCCTCCAGGGATTTCTTATGTGCCATTGTGCATTCATCCCATACGATTAGCTTGCAAGATTCCAGCACTTTTGCCATGCCACTACGCTTGCTTATGTTGCAAACGAGAAAATCTTGTTTAGCAATATCCAGGGGTAGTTCCAATGTCGCATGTGCGGTTCGACCTCCGTGCAGCCAAGTCGCGGCGATCCCCGAAGACGCCATCGCTAGTGCCATGCCACCTTTGCTGCGGATTTCGGCTAGGAGTAGATTTGTGAGGAATGTTTCACCAGTTCCTCCTGGAGCATCGAGGAACACGATTCCCTGCTGCATTCCTACTATTTTCATCATTATTAGGTCGTAGGCTATCTTCTGATCTGGGTTCATCAGAGACCCCGTACTCTGAACGTGATCTTTGAGTGCTTCGGTGTCGAAATTCTTTTCGCGGAAATAATCCGCATCCAGCGACATATTGGACTCTCTTCGAGGGCTTTGGAGGCCCACTCTGTCTAACGTTTTGTTGTTCATCTGGAGACAAATATCTTCCAAGGGGATAAGCGTGCGGTTATACATTTCAGGAGAGAAAGATAAATCCGGAATCGAATTTTCCCTTCGTATTTGTAGAAAGATATCTTCAGTCATGGAATCTTTGAATTTTTCCCATAGGCTGGACGGGTCAGATGGGTCACAGCATGTGAGAATGATGGCAAATAAATTCCTCAATTGATTCGGGAATGTCGTTTGTTGCGCTTCATGCATCGTGCGTTCCCATTGTTCATCAGCTTCTAGTAATCCCAATTTCTGACATGAAAAGTTTCGTATAAGACTCCGTCGATGGTTTTCAGAGCATTGAATGATTTTGGTCCTCGGATGTTATGTAGTAGCATCCGAAGATAGAAGCATCCGCGCTGTTAGGATGTACGATGTAAGCCCGGCCCAGAGCGTCAGAAGATTTCTTACGCTTCTCGAACTTCTTTTTGAACATCAAAGTTTGAGCGAAGGCATCATCTTTGCATAAATCAAAGAATGCCGTGAGCGTAGTTGTCGGGGGTTCTTGGATACTATCGTAGACGTTGTTAGCAGTGCAGTACATCTTTTGTCCATTTTCCAAATGCACACAAAGATGTAAGACAGTAGGATACCGTTGATGGATGGGGAAACTTAGGATCCGCCATACGGCCTCATTGGCACAGATGTATCTCCCGAACTGGTACTGCGTGATCTCGTCATTGCTTCCGCCTTTCAGACCCTTTTTATGCTTTACGTTTACGTATTTACAGATGTATCTAATGGCTTTAATGGTTTTACAATATTCCACATTAATGTGAGCTCCGAACATCTTTGAAAGCAGTGGACTGTAGGGAACAATCCAGGAGTTGTCAATTTCGGACTCCGCTATTCCCCGCTTCAAATGGACGGATCTACGTCGGTACCTGGGATACCCATCACGTCCAGTGTGAGTGTATTTTATCAGTGATCGCGGGTAATTTTTCGTGCAAATCTTCTTTTCCTGATCCATGCAGGGGGAGAATGGATTTTTGCTGCCGCAGGAACCGTGCACCATACTTTGCACGACGATTCGGTGCAGCTCTGGATCTAAATTCTTGTCGGGAATCTCTGCTGATATCACTTGGTCGATTTGAACAGGGGTGATCTTTTCTTTCAACCAAATCCAATTATGGGAAAGGGGTAAGCCCCGTTTCTGAGATTCGATTGTGTACATCCAGCACCGAACGTCGCCGAAAATACAACAATCTTTGATGGTAGCGAGTAGTCTCGCTCGTTTCTGACGGAACACCCTCGCGATGAGATCGTGTCTATCACTAGGGTTCTGACCATCTGAGAGCAGCATTTGAATCTCATCCCATGCCGGGTTGCATGTGAATGTGATGAAAAGATCCGGCGTTCCGTAGTGTCTGACGTAGGTCATCGCATCTTGAGTATACTCATGCATTTGTCTCGGACTGCCGATGAAAGTTTATGGCAAAATGCAGGGCTGGCCAACGTTATCGAGATTGCCGTTCTTCGCCAGGGCATCTTTCAAATGAATGTAGCTCTCCGACCGTATTTTGCATTGATTCAGTCTTAGGAATCGAAGACGTTCTCCTTCTATCTTGGCGTAACAATCTACGATGAACTGGTTGAAAAGCTGACAGCACTTGAGGAGATAGTTTTCTTGATCGTCTCGCACCATTATTCTGTACGCATAAAATGCCATCGATGAGATCTTTTCTGTCGGCTCTCGAGGTTTCCGGGTGCGAGGATTAATGAGCTGTATTTCGAAATAATAGCCATCCTCGCCCCGGGGGAAGAGAATGGCGTATTGAAGCGCGTCGTATGATCGATGAGTCTCTGCGATCCGTTTTAGCTTATCATCGCGTTTATGCAGCACGATGTCTCGCGAATCACCCATTTCGGCAGAAATCACCACTGCTATCTCATCGACAACAGGTGCGCTGAAGCGCCTTCCATGCTCTCCCGGCGGACGTCTGTGGCACCAGGTGGCCGGAGCGCACAGCGCCGAGCAAGAGTCATACATACACACAGGCACCTCACACGGCTTCAGTAACTCCCACGAACACTGCATACAATCGAGCTGACGATAAGTGGGCAACTTCATTATGATTCCATACATGCCGTGCAGTATCTATTCGTGAGCGACCTCAGGGTCGGATTAGATTATCCTTCGTTAAATAAATCTCAGACGAGTCCGCTCGCACGGAGCCGATATTTCGAACGCGTTCTGTCACTCGATCCACGCCACGCGATCCAAGAGTCGTGACGTCATCGAAGAGTCGCTCGCCGACAACAGTCACTCTCTCAATCGACTGGCGCGGACGGTCTCTCGTGCGCTCGAATGCTGATAACAACGTGCGCGGCGCGGACTCGTCCTGTATCAAGAGAATCCCCGACTTCTCAATAACCGACGGGAACGCCCGTCACAGACGTCTATCAGCTCTGATAATCAATTTGAATTCATCATTGAGCATCCTATCTAAGGGGGTTCTGAATTCTTGGATCAGGACGTTATGTCGCGTCAGACATCGCTGGAGAACACCGACGATGTTCTCCCGTAATTTTGGAATTAGGGAACAACGTTCCTTGACTTGAACGCCTTCGTCCCCCATACAATAGATTTGCTAAAATTTCGTATCTGAAGGTGGAAGCAGAGAACCGATCTTATGATGAACTTGCCCTCGAATCTTGAACGTAGTCGAGATAAAGGGTCCAGGCAAGGGAGAAGTGGTGCCAAAGGAAGTCATCTGGAAGCTCGCGTTGTACCTTCTGATGTTCGACAGGAAATGCTTCGAGTTTGAAGTTGTTTCCGACAGAAGCTCCCGGAGTTCGTCCGGAGGAGGTTCAAATGGTGTCAGGTGAAGGGATCCATTCTTACAACACATTCCTGGAGCTTCCTTGGAAAATTTCATAGCAGCACAAAATTTACACCTACGATCCATGGGACCGATTACAATTTGCTTATGCTCAGAATACGGGTTGGTGGCATCATACTTGAAAGCTGCGAGCCGCAGATTCGCTGATCGACGCATTCGTGACTGAGTTCCAACTCGGTCGTCAGGTTGGCTCTCCATATCAAACTCTCCCGGATCGTTATGGTCAGAAGGCGGAAACTGTGCGATGTCGACACTAATACAATCGTAATCACTTTTTGTGTCTAGCGCCGAAGCGCTCCTCTTTCGACTAAACATTACCCTCGAGTTAGCACCCGCACCGCTCACTTGACGTAGGCGTCGACTTCTCGCTCCCGAGGGAAGGGGACGTCCCAGAGTCGAACGCTTCTTGCGTGGCTCAATCTACGGATGCGGAACTGCACTCCTCCCTGAATGAGTAAAATGGAGTCGCTGCTTCGGTCGATGTAGAGACAGCAAATTTGACGCGTCTCAGTATTTCGAAGACTCCTCACAGAGACTCCCGTTGTCTACGCTTCATTATTCAGCATAGATTCGTATTCGTATCGTGATTCTATAGAGATGTGAAACTTCATTATTGATCTGCTGGTCGCGTGAGCCGTAAGCTGTGTCCGACGCTGTTGATCGTCCAGATACCCTGCCTAACACATCATTCGGACCCCCACGTATGGATCGCGGAAGTTTCGTTCCAATCGGTGGACCGGTGTCGAATTGAATCGCGTTCACAGCAGAGAGCGGTCGCGCCTTATTAGTATAGATAGATAGATAGAAGATAGAAGATAGATAGAAGAAAGATAGAAGATTCAGGCGCGCGCCAAGCGTCCGCCGACTTCCGTTCGCTGGGTTCGCTGAGCGCAGATTATGACGTAGGTCTACGTGAAAAAGACACGGGAAGACTCGCGGGCTGAGTATAAACACGCACCGAAGAGAAGGACCCTCCAGGGCTCGCTTCTCGTCGGAACAGGGAATCAGAGCTCCGCCGTCGTGATAAAGAGACTCAAAGATAAGATGGATCCGAAGGAGCTGGGAGGAAAGGAGAAAGGGAGGCCAGACCAGGCTCGCGAATAACATAGCCACAGAGATGCAACTCGGAACGACTATGAAGGAGCCCCCCCTTGCAGCTACAGTCGCGGTCTATAACCTCGACCCCACCACGTCGGAGAGAGAAGCGGAAACCACAATACGCACGATGCTTGGATTACAAGATGAAGGAGATATCAAGGTTGAGGAAATCAGGACCGACATCAAAGTTGCTACAAGTGTGGAGAAGAGGGCCATCTTAGGAGAGAATGTAAGTCGACCAAGCAATCCTGCCACAGATGCGAAGCCTCTCTCTGGACACACAGCGTACTCTTCAGCGTGCCCGGGGTACAGAAAGGCCCTCGAGGATATCAAGAGAGCGGGGAGGGAGACACAGCAGAGAAAACAACGATGGCTCCGCAACAAGGGGCAATCGAGGCGCCGACCGAAGAAATCCGGGAACTTCTTCAGGAACCATCGAAGCACGTCATGGACAAGCAGCTGAGCAGCAACAAGCGGAGAGCCCCGCGACCAGAGACATCTATACAGGAGCCTGGGTGACGATACAATCCAAGAAGAACAAATCCAACAAAAACAAAAATGGTGCTCAAGGCTACTACAAATAAGTTGCTGCTACTTCTCTCTAAATAGCACGCTAGAGCATTTCACAGAAGACCTAGACATGATAGCACCCGTTGTTAGAGAGAATCCCAGACACAGGATCATGGTAGCTGGGGACTTCAATGCCGCCTCGACTGCGTTGTGGAGCGCCGAAAATTCGTCGAGGAGAAGAGAGACTGAGACCTTCATAGACCTTCCCATGTTGAGTCACGGCCAGCTTGTCGAGGACTGGCGAGTTGTCGAAAGCATCGAATCGCTCAGCGATCACCGTATCAACGACTGGAGAAACGGTATCGCAAAAACCGAGACTCAGGACGAAACGGCTAGACGAGCAAGCTTTCCATAGAGCGATAAGCGAAAAATGCGGAGGAGTCCAAAGGAACGGAAGTCCCGTGAATGCAGAGACCGTGATAAACATACTGAACGGAACACGCAGCGAATCCTCTCCGGCAGAACCCAGAAACATGGGCAATAGAAAACCAGCATACTAGTGGACCGCAGAGATCGCGAAGAAAAGGCAGCTCTGCAACAAAGCTCGTAGGAAACTCGTCCGTGCACGACGCCACATCGATATTTTCCCCCAAGCAGCTGCAGACTACCAAATCACGTACGACGCACTCAAGAGAGAATAAATGAGAGAGATCTTGAATCTTGAACAGAAAAAGGCTAAATGGAAAGAAGTCTGCGAGAGTCTTCGAGAAGACATTTGGGGACGATCCTACAGGATAATCCGTGAGAAAATCGGACAGAAACGACTGAAGGTCCCCCAGGACGTTGTCGACGCCGCCGTACGGGAGCTCTTCCCCACCTACGGAGCGTTTGAGAGGGGATACACACAATCAGTGGTGGACAACGGGAGCATACCGGGAATAACCGAAGAAGAAGTTCTCCAGGCGGCGGAACGAATGGCGACCGGGAAGGCCTCTGGCCCGGACGGCATCCCGCCAGAGCTCACGAAGGGATTTATCGAACGCTGGCCACAGATTTTCGCGAAGATTATCGATGACATGCTGGCGAGGGGAGTATTCCCCGACGCATGG